GCACCTCATTCTTCAGTGTTGTATTAAAACTCTCTGGAGTCTCTGTTTCATTCAAAATTGAGATTTCACTTTTGAGTAAATACATCAAAAGAACAGAAGCAAGGGACCTTCTGCATGGCAGCAGCAGGGGGTGGATGGGCAGTGGGAAATGCAGCTTCCTGCAGTTCAGCCTGTCACTCCATATCATATATTTGTGAGGAAAGTGACCTGGCATTCCTTGTAGAATATGAAGTACTGCGGTTTGCACTGCTGTTGCTCAGGCTTGGGAGAGGATTGAACTGATAGAAATAGGAAAGATATAAAGATGCACGCTCAGAGACTAAGAATAGTATCAACTCGCTCTTTGTAAAGAAATTGTTTTTCAATTGTAGATAAAAATTTCCATTCTGAAAAAAAAAAAATGAATGCAAGGGAAGAAGCTGATTCCTAAAATAAAGATGCAGGGTGATAAGGTGGGGTACATTATCTGTGTTCTTTGGCATAAACTGCATTTATATTCAAAATCCCAAGGGAGATGCATACAACCTGTGTAACACAAGGGATGCAAGATCAAAACTGGTCTTTTTGTAAAAGCTCTGAATTATGTAGAAATAAAACCCAATCTTGGAGATAGGAAATGGAGTGCATGACCTTGTGAGCTTCTCTGCAGCTGTATTCTCTGATTCCCTCATGACTGAGGATCTGGGAATTGTGCTGCATAGTTCCCATGAGCACTCCTCTGCTTTAGGCTCTGCAAATCCCAGCAGAACCATGAACTGGGACACAGATACCTCCTCTTCTTTCAGTATGAGATTTCCTCATTTTCTTGAAGTGTCTCATCCACTTATGTACATTGAAGAGAGGAAAATCTGTGAGATTTCAGAGTTAAAGTACTGACATGAGTAAAGGCAGTGCTAAAATAGAGAAGATGTTTCTTTGTGGGTTAACTRAACTTCTCTGGGATTGTGGAGAGCAAATTGTCTTTCAGGAAATGTTCTGACATTTCCTTTTATACTCTCCTTATGCCCTGTGCAGTTATGTGTATTTTACAGTTCTTTTATCATGCAGCACAGGTTCTAAGGSCCATGTTTTCAAGTCATTAACTCAATGTTGCCTTTAGGAACTCTATAATACCTTGAGCCCCTTGAACCTTAGAGCTGTGTATAACGTGGAAGAAATTGGTGGGTCTTGGTGTCAAATTCTATTGAGGTGTCATATAGAAGTTGCTGAGACACTGTGGGGAACAGAGGGCAGGAAATACACTGAGACACTGTGGAGAACAGAGGGCAGGAAACATACATCTCTCCACCTGAGAAGAGCAGGTGAAACCGAGCAGGTAATCCAGGAGAATGAAAGCTGCAGTGGAGAAAATTGCTCAATTGATATCAGAGCACCAAGGAAGGCTTGATTCAAGGCACAAACCCATGAGAAATTGCAAAAACCAAATCCTTTGTGAAGGTTTATTTAGAAAAACCACAATGCTGGGGAGTCACTGTTACATAGTGTGGTAACTCTCTTCCTCTCGAGTAATATGCACCACACTGTGAGCATGCAATTATTTTTGTTCCAGAGATAACATCGTCATTTATACATGTACACATATGGTCCTCAGTGCCCGCTACACTTCACATGGATGTTAGGATACACACAAAGTTGAGCTTTTCCATGAAAAAACTGTATAAAAAATACAAACCAAACTGAAGCAGTCAACACGAGAAGCAATGTGCAAAAATAGACAGTTACTCCTGAATGTTTGCTTAAGAAAAAGGTCCCTGTTCCCCATTCAGCACAGACAATGCCAGATGTTGCCTGAAAGAAGGATATGAAATAACCAGTTACATCCTGCCCCTCTTCGTGTCAATTGCAGAAATTTTTAACCAGCTAAATAATCCTGTTAGTATGAAAATCTGCCTTCAAGCATCTCCATCGTGTGCTGTTGCTGCATCCAACAGATTTTAACGTTGTTGGAATGTCTGACCTGCGATACTCAAGGCTGGTGACAAGCAAGGCCTTGTGTGGAGCACACAGAAGAGGCTGGACAAAGAAATCCCTGGTGATTGAGCCCCTGGCAGGGGCTGCCTGGAGGAAAGGGCCAGGGACTGGGAGCTCTCCTCACACATGCTGCAAGGAGCCAGACCTCCAGGGCTTGGCCATGGGGTGCACAGCTCCAGCCSTGTCTGCTCTCACATGGTGGGGCTGGGGTTTGAGATGATCCCTGGAGGGACTGAGGATCCTCCCTCCACAGGAACCGTGGCTCTTCATGGCAGGTGGAGGGATGGGGAGCCCACAGGGCTTTCCTCAGTCAGGTACCTTGGTCCTTGGTGCAAACTGGGGCTGCAAAACACAGATGGAGCCACCTGAGCGTGTAACAGTGTGGGTGGCTCTGGGCAAAGCGAAACAGGACGTGCTGCACACACCATGAAGCAGCCAGGCCAACCCATCCTTGAGAAACTGCTGCATGCAAATACCAACACTGTCAATGGCAATTAAGACTAGAAATGGATTGCACTTGTTTCCCTTAAACACAGATACGTACCACTCTTTAAAAAAATTAAATAAATCTTCAAAGAATCAATTGATAATTGAGAGTTCCTTGGCTRGATCAAAGGACAAGAACAAGAAATTAGGGTCAGTGATTCCTATGACTGAACGTTATCAGTAACATAGGTTTTGTGGATAAGGATTCTTCCCACCCATGAAACTTCATGGTGCAAAGCTCAGTGTTCTCCTGATAATCTCAATGTTTTTTAAGGATTCTGTTTATGCCCATGCAGAGTTATAACTGTATTACAGAACTTGCAAATTCTTTTAATGGGATATCAAAGTTTTTCACAGCAAATTCTGCATGGATCCAAGGAAAACCTCAGCAAGATTCCCCTGTGTTATGTTTTTTATTTGCAAAGCAAACGTTTCCGTTTATTCTGAGGAAGGGAAGAAGTGGAAATTGTAGAGACAGGGAGCTCTCAGGGAAGTAAACTGTGGCTACTGCACTTTATATCTCAGCTCAGCCAACCACTTTAGCCAAGTATTTTAAGTGGGATTTAAGTGAGTATTATTCACTTTGGACCCAACTATGTATCCAGTATCCAGCAGGAAAAGCATTGCCTTGGACCTACTCATGTCCACTATAAAAGGCACAGAGGGAGGGTTCATCCTGTCAGCTTGCACCCCAGCACGATGGAAACAGCTCAGGAGTGTCCTGAGTGAGGAGTGTCCTGGGTCAGGAGTGTCCTGGGTCAGGAGTGTCCTGGGTCAGGAGTGTCCTGCAGTGGCTGCAGTGTCCAGCACTGCCCAAGGAGCAGTGCCTTGTCTCTGCTCTCAGAGGAGGGATGCTCTCAGTGTGCATCAGGTAACAGCACTGGCCCAGGAGTGTTTCTGCAGCTTTCTGACAGCCACACGTGACCTGAGCGTCCCTTTGCTCTTACAGCATGCACACAGTAACCAAAATGAACCTCTGGCTGTTAGTCAGCTGTTGGCAGTGATAAAACCGTAGTAGAGAATACTGTTAGACTGCAAAATAAACAAAATGAAACATCTGGCTGAATTCTTACCAAAATTTCAATGCTGTTGAGCATTGGGGTTAGCTGCTGTTTCTTGAGTGTTTTCCTCTGGGTTAAGATTACGTCCAGCATCCAAGTTAAGGCCATGATTTAGCAAAGCATTTGTACATGTGCTTAAATCTGCCCTTATTCAGATWAACACTGGCACGAATACCCACGTGCCTTGTGATACATGGACAAAYCTCAACTGCAGCATTTAAATGTCAGTTATGTAGCTGTCAAAACTACCCCTTTAATGTCTTTTACTGGTAGCACAGTGGCTTTCCTGGATTAAGTGTTTAATTAATCTTCATCTAAAAGGTCCTGAGAACAGTCCTATAAAGCTAACAAATGTACATAAATACCAGAACTAAAAAAAGTCAAACTCATGGCTCAAAGCAAAACAAATATTGCTCAGAATACTTGTTTAGGTTAAGATTAATAGCTGTAAACTGTGCATTCTAGTAGCAAACAAAACTTGTTGGCCTAGRAAAAAAAAACCCAAAACATTCAATGTCTATAGGATTGGCAGCACTAATATTACTTTAAAGTGTGGAGTAAGGATAAAAAACATCAGTGTAACATTGCAAAATGATCCACCTAACCTAAGCTTATGTAAACAAATACGCTTTGACAATGTTTATACATCTGGGCATGATCCTGCACTGGGAGCTGGACGGGTGGAGACCCAGCAAGGGGGACGGGTGCAGTTCCAAGGTGGTTCCAGCTGCCCAGATCCCACTGCAGGAGAGAGGCTCAAGGGTGTGAACCTGCAAACCTGTACTGGCATCACTAGTTCTACTCCTGGGAGCAGCCCTTTGCAGGATTCAGTTCAGCAGGACTATACACATAAGTAAGGATTATTCACAAACATAAGGCATTGCAGAACTTGGCCCTAAAATTTCTATTTTCAGCAGAGAATCCCTTATTCATACACATATCATAACATATCAAAAAGTGTCTAAAATAAGGGTCAGAGTCACTATATGTTATGCTCAGTAACACAGTTAAGATGCTGCATATTGGCTTCACATATTGCAAACCATTTTCTTCATTAAAATCAAACCAACGATGAACCTTTCTCATAAGAATTAAATTAATCGTGAAAATTGAAAATGAACAGGCTCTGCTTTCAAGGTTAAAAGGAGACATTAACAGAAATCAGCAACTCCCACTGTAATAATTTCCAGTGCCTTCCCTTCTGAGCAGTGAGCACTCTGAGACTGCAGTTGGTGGTGCCTCCAGTCGTGCCTCGTGTCCTCGGTGCTGTGGCTACTGCCGCTCCCCTTCCACCCTCTTCTTACGAACTGCACCAACAAAACAAAACAAGAAAAGAGAGTCATTATTGCCTTCCTCGGAACACAAAAACTTTTCTCACAGATGCACTCCCCTCCCGGTAAAATGGAACCAGCACAGAAGGAGCTTCCAAGAAACATTTGGAAGAATTATGTTCATAAAAACCCCAATTAATAGATCATAATGCCCAACAAAACAATTGTACCTAAATTGCACTTTATTGTATCACAGACTGTAGAATTTCACCAAGTGTCCATRTCAATACATTTTCTGCAAAAATCAGATTCTGAGCTAAAGGTTTTAGATTATAAAGAAATCACAATTTCCTGCCCTTCCTTCCAGTGATTCCATTTAGATTTTTATTACAGTTTTATTGTTCTTTTAAAAGCAACTGTGTTCCAGATAAATTAATGCTGGTCTTCTCTAGTCTGCATGGARGAGCTCTGCATTATTTAAGCTTTAGGCATCAAAAATTAATAACTTCTGTAATTGCACAGTGTATACTACAGTTAAGCAATAATCATATTCTTTTAGAAAGTAATTTGAAGTACTCTTAAGTACCAATATCAGTGAATATTGGCAATAAGGAAAATATCATACTGGACCTTCAATTACCTGTTGAAATTTCACATGCTCTGATGAATCAACCATCTTACAGTAAGTTAATTAACTCTSTTTTTTCACTGGAAACCATGTAGGYTGAAGTTACCACTTAGCAAAGCAGAGTGCCAAACGCTGTGTTATGGGCAGGATTATCTTGACAAGCAGTGTCATGTGAATTYTTACAGCACTTGAGATACATTATACCTGGTACAGGGCAGGTCTGGCTGAGTAGCATTTGCTACTCCACATTGTGTTAAATGCATTGAGTCCTTTCTGACCYGGCCAGATAAGATTTGTGGGGTTCTCCTGTTTGTGTGATACAAAATTTAGTGTTATGTCCAAGTGTCATGTCCTGTTTCTGATATTGAATGGCTGAAGTACAGAACAAAGCAGTAGRACTGGATGAATTAATGCTTTTCACTAAAGAAGTCAATAACAACAATATATTGCTAAGCATCCMATTACTTTACTAGGAGGAGTCTTTTCATCATGCCTTCTTGGCAAACAGACTGCATTATTGCAAAACCTGCAGTTTAACATCAGTCATTTGTGCCTGCTTTCAGTGTTTTGTTCCTTCATTTACTTGGTTTTATTCTTTTAGGAATTCTGTCCTACAAAATTTTGAACAAAACCATACAATACAAACATAGGAAAATTAAGATTAGGACATAATGGCAACTGGTAAAATAGTGGGGGAAAAAGGGTTTTTCCCTCTTTGTGGGTGGGAGGTTTCAAAAAACATTCTGGGACACTGATAGTTTCAGAAAAAAATAGCATGTAGATRGAATGCTTAGGTACTGCTAAAAATTAACATTTCAAAACTCCAAAAGTATGTGAAAGAAAAACRTTTTAGTTGAACTTTTATCTTAGTACCCACAGAGAGAAACCCAAGCTGAAACCCACAAGGATATCATGGTTTGATACCCCACTCTGAAGTAGAACAGATTAAAAATGCAAAATCAATTTTTTTTTGTTTTCCCTTCTCACTCTAAACTTCTTCTGCCCAGTCATCTTCTTCACATTCAGTGTGGTGAGCACACAGGGCAGAACCTGTCACACTCAGGTGACTTTGCAGAGCTTTATTGTCTTTGCTGTACTTGGTCACACAGGCAGGAGGGTCTGGTTTGTTCCCTTGGCTGAGTAGGTTGGGTCCATTATGGCCTGGGCAACAAAGCCAGGACTTCTGTGTCCTCTGAGAAAACAGGATGGGTTTGACTCCTCATTTACTGCCCAGAACAGCTGATAAAGCAGTGAGAAAATCCATGGAAAAGGCTGAAATAACGCTCCAGAAGGAGCAGGAGAAGAACTGTGGTTCCCAATCACAGTAAGATCTTTGCTGCTGTCTACTCTAGAGCCCAAGGAGCTTTGCATTTTCCCTCACAAAGAGCAGCTTGAATGTTGTACTCAAAATTCAGTCTGAATGCTCAGACAGGAAGAGTTGTGCCTGGGAAAGTCAGGGCTTGGCTCACATAAATAATTGATGAGTAAATGTGGTAGCATCTTACCCAGATCGTTGTTTTTAGTGATAGCTGCTGCTACCCTGGTTCTTGGACCTTGTTTTGTGAACTGGTATCCAAATTTGAGAATCCTGGAGTTCTCCTCCAGCATCTTGGCAATCTCCATCTCTACAGCTGTCCCAAGCTGCTGCCTCTGTTGATGATGCAGTGAAGTGTCCCCAAAAGAAAAGGAAACATTTGTTTTCATATGAGAGAGAAATAAGTGATCGGATGTCAGTACTGGGCTGCAAACTACTAAGAGAAACCCACTGCTGGAGACTTTGCCCTGGGTYTTTTATTTGGCTTTGACTAGTTTTATTGAGAAGTTTTCCACTCTGTTTGCACTGACTTGGGACATGAGTTACAGAATGACTGAGCCACAAAGGCTGCCTTGTCTTTGCCATCATCCCCTGGGAGAACCCTCTGAGAATCCATATAAAAGAGAAACAAAAATGGACTTCCCCAGTGGTCTCTGTTTACCTGGTTGTCAATTTTGATCTCCGTTAGGGATTCATTCTTTTTCAGTGCATCAATCAGTGCCAAAATCCCTGTGCCAGTGATGAAGTTGGATTCTACATTCAGACTCTTCAGTGTTTTGTTCACTTTCAACATATCTGCAAATGCCTGAAGGGTCAAAAAGAAGGAATATGAGAAAACATCTTGAAAGTTTCAGGAAACAACAGGGAATCTGCAAAACATAGTTTAGTACCAACTAGAAATAAAACATAARTATGCTTAGAAGAACATAGAGATAGATCAGAAGAGATTATATTTCTGCTTTGCATAGCCACAGGGAATTCCTTCAAGGGAAAATAAAGAATGTATCCTAAAGCATACATGGACAATTTGTTGTGGTTTTTTTTGCCCCCCAGTAAGGTTTAAACTTACAATAGCTACAGGGTCATTGCTTCGAGTAGCTGCAAGGCTGAAAGTCTTCACATGTGTGTTGGTTTCCAGAGCTTTTGCAAATTCTTTCAGTGTTGGAATAGGAATATTCTACAGTAAGAAGACAGATCCAGTAATTAGGAAAGCCATTCACATTGCTGATTTTAATGATTATCTAACTGATTAACAACCACAGTCTATGCAATTTAAACATCCCTGATGCTTTTAAGGGCCTGTCAGAATGGACAGAGCATCCTGTGGGTACAGTGGCCCCCAGAGCCCGTGGTGCCTCAGTCTGCAATGTCAGCACTGCCTGAAACTGGGTCAGGCCAAGGGCAGCACATCACCATTGCTGAGCTATTTTCTCATTTTGCTGCCAGTTGTTCGGTCTGCACATGCCAGCTCCTCCTCCAGCCTCCTCCAGTAGCCAGGAGCCTCCAGTAGCCTCCTGTATGGGCTAATTGAACTTGGCCAGTGATGATTACAAGGTACCCATGAGGTATCTTCCTTTATAATCAAGAAAGGAACCGAAGGGAGTCATCCCTTGGGCTTTTACTGGGCATTTAATTCAGTGTCAGGAACTGATGGCCCTGGAGCCCCTACAACAGTCCTTTCCACATCCCTCCCTGAGTGTCCTGCTTTTTCTGAACAGTAAGGAGAGATAAAATTTGAAGATAAAAGGGAAAGGCTCTGGAAATATTTGAATACATCCTCCTATGATGACATAAATGAAAACACAGCATCTACCTTTATGTTGTTGAGATTAATTTCTGTGAGACTGGGATCATTTGCTTTTATCCTTTGCAAACTTGCTTCCACATTGGTCGGATTAGGTGGCTCCTCAAAGATGGGCTTCACCTTTTCACCTTTCACCACATCTGCAACACAAGATGTCATGAAATGTTGACTGACAAACAGGCATCATCAGTCTGGCTTTTCAATTCCCATTTAGGTTTGTACTGCAGCAATCCAGGAAGGGTTTATGAGAACCACAAAACCTGCAAGCAGGAGTATTATCCCCATTATCCCTGCCATGCCCTTTGCCCCTCCTGTGCACCCAGAGCTGTCACTGGAGGCTGCAGTCATGGAGGATGGGAAGCATTGTCATGGGCAAATTCCTCCTTTATTTACAAAATCCCTGWACAATTAATTTGAGCCAAAGCATCTTTGAATGCTGTTGTTTGGGATGTGATATACTGCAAAGGCTTCTTTGTACTTTGTCTATATCTGTAAAGAAAGGTGTGCTCAGAGCTTGCCCATTGCATTAATAAGAAAATGTCCCTGCACCTATCAACAGACTGTGCTACATAAAGCAACACGAGCAGGAGGCCCCTCAGTTTCCTTCTCTCAGCTGATACTATCAGCCTTACTATAAATCCAATTAGCTCTTGTGAAATTGCAACATCTGCACTTTCCAAATAATAAAACTATCAAAGCATGAAAAGTAAGTCTGTCTGCCAGCCCYAAGATTTATGGAATCTTTGAGTAGTCATGTTCCAAAGAACTATGGTATTTAGTGCTGGAAGCTATGAGCTATAAATATTCTCAGAGATGCATAAAARTCATAGCTTAGAACACAATTAGTGCTTCTAATTCCCACACATATAGTTGTGGAGATTAATTTATAAACCCTGACCACCCAAAGCACCAGAAGCAAGAAAGGAATATGTTGCTGACCACAAGTATGTTTAAAGTCTTTTATGCTGCAGACAGGGAGAGGTTTTGAAGATGGTGCTCAAGCCTCAGKGTACTACACATTGCTGTTCATTGCAATGGGTGAAAGTTCATGTCATATCATGGGCCAAAAGAAAACCACATCTTTTTTTAGAACTCCTCTTAGTAGAGATAGTTACATACAAACCTTGAGTTGGTTTTCACTCTGCTCCCTTTGATGCCACACTTTTTTTTTTACTAATTCCCTGAGAGACCTCACGTATCCCTGAATAACACTTCAGCCTCCCTAGGGAGCCAAAAATCAGAAACTACAGGTAAAATACTGTAGAGAATTCACCTTGGATGCAAGAATAGAAAGTAAATAAGMGAAGCAAAGCATTTCTTGCACTTGAGGCAGCACCCATCAGACTGGGAGCAAGGAAAACACAAGCACCCTGTCCTCAGGTTAGACATCACAGTGTGCTCAGTCTAGAATAAGGAGGAGTTTTCATTTTCTTCTTTTTGTTGCTTCCCATGAGTTTTTCTTGTTTCATTAATCATGGGGCTGTTTTGCCACATTGGTGATCAAATTTTTACTGAAGCATTTCACTTGGCTAAGTAAAGGTATTGCTGTTGGACCAAAGAATACTGTGATATGATGGTGATTTTCTGGTTTGTAAGTCTGTATTGGAGCATAGTTTAGCTGACTCACATAGCTGACTTTTTGACTCAGTACAACAAAAATATTCTGAAATCTGTGAGGATTACTAATGCATTCAGTTGCCTGTTATGAGAGAGGATGGCAGCTCACACAGGGCCCCGCTGGGGAGGTTTGCAGAGCAGCTTAATCCTGAGAAAAATGAAGTGACACRGTGTCCTGTCTACTTTCCCACCTCCCCTTTAGTAATGGCAGMTGGAAAGGAAAGCCCTTGGTAAAGCTTTCTCATGGCCTTAGAAGAAGAAAAAAGCATTTTTTAGTACTGTTTCCCTAGGAAAGGGCATTCCACAGTTCTGTCTTAAAAAGCAAAGTTTAGCCCATTTGATATCCCAGAGCCTGGAGGTGACAAGCTCTGGATTAAGGCTTGGCAGCTCTCGAGAAAAGCTTGGAATTCAGATGCACCCATTTCTCTCTCCTTCCATCCATCCTCCTGTGGGTTGCTCTGCTAGGATCTGATTCACCAAAGGTCTGTTTACGTAGTGCAAACATTTCTGGGTTTGTTTTTRGTAACTACAGCTGTTTCTCCTGGGGGATTTCCTGAACGATTGTGTTTCCCATGTCCCTAGGGAACCACACCACAGGCACTGTTTACACACCCTGCACAGGAGCCAGGTGGAGGTGGGAGATCAGAGAGAGCAGCTGGGACAGGAGCACATCCATGCAGCCTTTGCCTCCCTGTGAGTGCAGCCTGAGGTGACTCTGCTCACAGATGTGACTCTGACAGGGATTCTGCCACGTTTGAGCCCAGTAGTTACAAATCTTTTTTCATTTGTGTGAATGCAGGTACTCGGGGCAAGATGGTCTGGCCTGAACTGTGTCTAACTCTTAGCTACAGTTCACTCTGTTTTCTGCCTGCTGMCTAAACTGAACTGGAAAGGAATTTTATATGTCTTGGCCTCTTAAATGCTCCCACTCTTTCAAGCACTTCTGCAGAGACAGATACTGCTCTCTAGGAAAACAAATTTCCTAGTATCTATCWGTTTGTATACTATGTTGTCATTGTAATGAATTTTAAGATTGTATTTCCTTTTAAAAAGTTATCTATCATATTAATTAAATCAATCAAAGTTCTGTCCAGTTACATTACACTAAATTAGACCAACAGACCCAATCTACAGGTRTAGATAACATGCAGCCCACAAGAGAAATCTGCTTGCTTACTTCTCACGATTCCTTTTCCATCTTTACTGCGGGCTCCTGCTTCATCAAATTTTGGGTTGTTGACCATGTTGTGCACTCCAAGAACAGCTGAAATGTGTAAATACCAACAAGTAAATACCAATGTTAATGGCAGGAACACAGACTGCAGGAAAGTATCTGCTGCAAGTTGTAGTTCAATTCCTCAAACAAAGGCCCTTTTATAAAATGTTAACTGTGTATGTCATGCCTGCTTGTAGAGAGAGTCTGTTGGGCTCCAAATTCTGGAGATGCAGACACTTTCAGTATAGATTTTTGAACAATTGAGTCAGTGGAGAGTACATATCCCAGAAGTGCCAGCTGGAAGGAACCACTGCGGGTCATCTTGTCCAGCTTCTCCCTCAGGCAGGAATGTTGCCAGCATTAACAAGGTCAGCCATGRCTTTGTCTGGCTGGAGTCTGAAAACATCCAGGGATGGAAATCCCTCTATCTCTTTGGGTAACTTGTTTCAATGCTACACTCCTAATCACTTTCCTTCCCCAATATACAACCTGAACTTCATACTACTCTTTGTTCTATTGTGTGGTGTACCTGAGAATTTCAGTGTACATGTGATGAGCTCAATAAATTGGCATTCCCACCAATTATGGTTTCTTATGGAAGCACATCAATGTTAACATGCTCAGAAAATAATTAGAAGTGGTGAAGATACCCAAGTCTAATCCCCTGGCAACTAATTTTCTCATTCAAGGGGTTAGATCCCAAATTTCCTCATTGATTCAGGATCTTTATCCACTGCATTCTGTGACAAGTTTGTCCTGCTGTTTGGGAAAGTGGACAGGAGGTAGCAATCGGATGCCATAAACAATGTGATATCAGTAAGATCAGTCACTTCCATTCCAGTGCCAGCACCCCTGCAATCCCTCCTTACTCTCCCCTTCCCCAAATCACATGAGCTGCTTCATTCCCCCTGGCCTGATACAACAATTGTAAGTAGAGCAGAAAAGTCTGAAATGCAGCAGCAATTGAGCCACACTTCAATCATCATGGGCAATGTGTGCCCACAGCTTGGCCATCTGTCTGAGAAACACCAGGGGCTTGAGGGGTCAGCATGAGACACTCCTGGCAGCAGAGAAGAGCTGGACATGCAGATGGATCTATATATATATAGATCTATATATATATCTATATATTATCTAACCTGCAAGGTCATAGAGCTCTGTGTCTGAAGCACTGGCCAGGGCCTCTTCTAGTTCTGGATCCAGGGTCACTTTCTCTTCTGTGCGGGTTTCCACRGGCTTTTCTTTAGGGATAAATATTTTTCCTAAGAGAAGAAAAAATGCCAGAGTGAGTAATGAATTATTGGAACAACTCCTTTGCCTCCTGGCAGCAGGGAACTAGGTCTGTGACAGTGGAACTGCTTGGAAATATTATCACATGCATGTTTTTCTCTTTCTTACTTGATGTTATCCTCCACACCAGGATCTTAATAAGTCTAAAAATAAAAGGTGCAGATTTCTGCTCTGTGTTGGTGATTGTTATTTTAGGGAATGTGCTCTCAGGAGCAGTCCCAGCTGGGATTTTTCTGAAGGTCCTTTGTCCTTAAATAGGCAGAATCAGGTCTACACAAAAAGCCTGCAGAAATTTTATCCTTATATTTAAATGAGATATTAGGAGCAGTTAAAATGATCCTACTGCAAGAATCTTTCAGTTGATGAACTTTCATACATGATCCTGAAAGCTCAGCAAACCTACTCTCTTCTAGYAACTCAGTTTAACTCCCAGCCTCTCCAGAGTATTCCCCCTCTGTGTCTCCTGATGATCATAAATATATTTATTCACATAAATAGACTTATGCTGATCATCCGTGCAGTGTGAAAAGTCTGAAGTGAACCACGTGTTGCCCAAGAAAGACTCCTGACGCATTTGTCTCCCTCTGTATCCCATTGATACCCCTGGGATAGCAGCTGTGTTTCCATGCAATATTCCCCCAAGACTGAGGTCATTGGTGTGTCTGCTGAAACGAGGAAACTGCAGGATAAATCCAGGAACAGCACAACAAGTTCCACTGCTCCAGGCTGCTATTCTGGTTAACCTCAGCASTGGGATGATGTAACTGCACTGCCTTGGAGCGAGGCCCTTTAAACCAGAGCTGCACTGGAGTCACCAGCAGGGCTGGGCTTATCTCCCACTCGGCTTTCCTGAGC